AAAAAAAAAAAAAAAGGAACACAATTTTCCCCCAGTATTGCTCACTGGGATCGCTCCCTTTAAAAAGGAACACAATTTTCCCCCAGTATTTTATATGCCTGAATACGAGATGAGATCCCCTCCCAAAACTGTCCCTCAGAAAAGTGAACTTCTCTATACTTGATTCCTTGCCAGTTCTCAAATGACACAGCCTCCTCTTAACTTATTTTGTCGGGGATAGACTCCTTCAGCAGAGATGCCTCCATTCTGCGTTGGGTTTTCTTACCGACAGAACTGGTTAAAACAGACTGGTGGCAGTGAAGGGTGTAGAACTTAACATTCTTTCAACATTGGCCCCCAACTTGACCCTGGTGATGATGATGATTGACATTAAGCATTTTGGATGAGTGATGGTTCGCTGGGTGGCTCAGTTGGTTAAGCGTCTGACTCTTGATTTTGGCTCAGGTCATGATCTCACAGTTCGTGGGATCGAGCCCCATGTTGGGCTCTGTGCTGACAGCGTGGAGCCTGCTTGGGATTCTCTCTCCCTCTCTCTCTGCCCGTCCCTTGCTCGCACTCTCTGTCTCTCTCTCTCAAAATAAATAAATAAAATTTTTTTGGATGAGCGAGGCAAGAGTCTGGAAGGAACAGGCAAGATTTCTACGAATCTACATATCACTTTATAGGATGGGGTCTTTTTCATCAATAAATTAAAGACAGGCAGACATTCACTTGTTTCATGTACCTCTCTGATAAGTTACAGGTTGAAATTGATCAAATAACTAGGTGTTTGGATTCTCACACGGGCGCAATGGAGGATCCCCTTATGTAGCAGCGGTTCCCAAGGTCGTCTGGCCTTGGGATCACAGGGGGAGCTCCCAGACCAGTCCTAGTGGACTCCCGGAGGGTGGGACTCAGGCATCAGGCTATTTATTTATTTATTTATTTATTTTTGAGACAGAGAGAGACACAGCATGAATGGGGGAGGATCAGAGAGAGAGGGAGACACAGAATCTGAAACAGGCTCCAGGCTCCGAGCTGTCAGCACAGAGCCCGACGCGGGGCTCGAAGTCAGGAACCATGAGACTGTGATCTGAGCTGAAGTGAGACGCTGAACCGACTGAGCCACCCAGGCGCCCCAGGCATCAGGATGTTTAAGGGTCCCCAAGTGATCCCAGTGTACACAGAAGCTCTCTTTAAAGGGGTGTTTTGCCAAAGCAATGCACGTACTAAGGCCTGTCCATTGCCAGAGGTTTGGACTCTAAGTCAGTCTAATCGGATCCCCTGGAAGACAGTGCCTTCTGGCAGAAAGCGTGACCTGGGTAATGGGAACCCCTCTTGGGCCATTTTCCCTTGTGCGTGTCATCTGCAGGAGGGACAATGTCACCTCAAAAGTCCCCAGTCTTTGAGCTATAGACCCTTTGGGGCCAGGAATCCATACGCACACCAAGCTCTGTCTGTAGACTGCATAGTATTTGGCCCACACATCTGTGGCACAGTATTTTAAAGACATGTATGTGCTGTTGTTAGGAATAAAACCAAAATTAACGTAAAGGTGTAATTGCCTCCCTAGTACCCTTTCTTCATTGTCTAGTTTCTCAGTCATCTATAAAGTAGACTTTGTGAGGGTCCTGGGCCTGGAAACAAAAGTGGGGATCAAGTATAGAGGTGCAGTGGGAATTCTGCAAGCCAGCCGTCTGGGTTTGAATCCCAGTTCTGCTGCTTGCAGCAGGGAGGTTGGGGCAAGGTGGCCCCTCTGTGACAGTACCTGGCCCATAAGCCTATTGATGACCCAAGAGCCAATCAGGTAAAGCATGTGGCCTAGATACGAGCAACAACCTGATCAAGACTGCCTTTTACTGTTTTTCATGATCACTAAAATCAGTTATACGCTTGGGCAGACTGCCCCCAAGAGAGCCCATAAAGGACTAGCTTGAAGGTTTTAGCCCACATTTATTAATTTTTGGTCAAAACTCCCTTACGGCTGCCACAGCTGGACGTGGAGGTGAGGAAGGCAGTCACTTACCTCATGGGTTTGAACATGGCCTTCCCGAAGTCTGAGAACCTCAGAACGAGCTTGAGGTGGACCCCACTGGGTTTCACAACTGTAAGGGGGAGAAGGGGGGAGTTAACAATCCTTCTGGGCCTAACCTCGGGGCTGTAAGCCTTTGTTCACTCAAAAAACCCAGCTGATTTCTTCTCTTGGTTCTTAATAAGACTCCAAAGCCTAGCATTTGCTTTCAAAACCTTGCAGGGTAAGGTCTAGCGTGTCAGGCCACGGAGAGTGGGTCCAGGGGCTCAAGACATTACTTTGCTGTTGTGGGAACAGGGCAGACAATGCGGGATTCCCCGGACAGACACTCACTGCAAACCCCAGAAAACGTTTTCCTAAGAAGAACAACTGTCTTCCTCTTTGTACCTCCGTCCCAGTGGATTCTGGTTGTGCCACCTGTTACATTGCACTGGGCGAGTTTATCTACATCTCTTTCCACTCGACACTGCATACCTGGGTGAGACAGGGTCTGGTGAGTAAGACACCTGCGGGGGCACCTCCATCACCCTGAGCTGAGCACTGCCTCCAAGGATGTCATGGAGCCCTTCACACGCTTTGCCCCCTCCTGGCCTTGCTATAAGCCCCGTGACAGTTGGGACAACGACTTGCTCAACCTTTGTCTTCTATCAAATGGCAAAGGGCAGGTGCTAAACTAAAGGAAAAGGGAGCCCCGGGCCCTACAAACTTTCTTCCAAACCTTTGTCACATCATGACTTACGCGGGGATTTCCCTGTTGGGTAAGTATTGCCGTCAATGCGTGAGGTTACTCATCGCTGGTGGTGACTGGCCTGTGGGCCTCAGTGTCCGGCCCAGACCTGCCCACGCTGAGGGCTGGGGATTCCGGTGCCCAGGCACGCCTGTACCCAATTCATAGCACCCTGGGAGGGGCTATAGCTCACATTTATCTTTTTGATTCTTTTCATCATTTACCCCAGTGGGTCTCAACTTTGGGTACATTAGAAGCACCCGGAGGGCTTCAAAATTCTGCTGCCTGGGGATCACCCCATACAACTGAATTAAAATCTCCTGGGGGGAGAGGCCAGTACACGGTACCTTTTAAAGCTCTCCGGGCAACCCTAGTACGGGGCCAGCTTGAGAACCGACGATGTTGTTAATTTCCAGATTCCGACTCAGAAAAGCAGAGTGGGGACGGAAATTTTGCATCCCTTTTCTATTTTTATTTTTTTTAAGCAGGCTTCGGGCCCAGCGCAGAGCCCAGCCAGGGCTTGAACTCACAACCCTGAGATCGAGGCCTGAGCTGAGATCAATGGTTGGATGCTTAACTGACTGAGCCACCCAGGCACCCCGACATTTTGCATTCCTAGCAAGCTCCTTGATGATGCAGGGACCCCGGGCTCACCAGCGGGGGCCTGGTAACTGTACCTCTTAAAATCCCTTTTCTTTTGTGTGGGTGGATGGGTGGGGGAAAATGTCGCGTTCTCAGAGATTAGGCAGAGAGAGTCATGCTCCAACTTCCGACCAGAAGTGGACCACAGAGTGGACGATGGGCCCCCCCTGTTGTTGCCAAATCTTGGGGTTCACAGGGCTGTGGAGGGGAGGGGGCTGGACAGAGGCGGGGCCGGGCCACTTACTCTGGGTGCAGTCACAAGCCCCAAGCAGGGCTTTCTCGTCCTGACTGTAATCTGCAAAGAAGGAAAAGGGCAGTGAGAACATCCAGGCTTGTTCCTGGAAGAGCCCACCACACAGGGCCCTCGACTCTGGTTTAGACCGCAGTGGGGAAGACGGTGAGGCGGCCCAGGGGGCCCTTGCCCGCTCAGCAGGGCACGTCCCAGGGCCCCAGCTGGCTGCAGCCTCCACCCTGCTCCATCCCAGGGCCCGTGCCCTCTAGCCCTTCAGCGGGTACTCGAACAGCGCCTGGGTGAGTGAAGGATGCTAGTCTGGTCTCTGCTAGAAACTGGACTGTTGGAGTGCTTGAGAGCCCAGACCTGGGACACAGCAGGTCTGTGTTTGAATCCCAGCACCACCACGGGGTCTTTGGCTGAGCTGATTAACCTCTCTGAGTCTCAGTTTCCCCGCCTGTAAAATGGCCATGGTAAGGTCTACGTCATGTAGTCACTGTATGAAAGATCGTTGACAGGTTCCAAAGGAGCATCCAATAAATGGTAGCAAAAACCACCATCCTTTAAGTGTGTGGAAACTCTTAGGGCTCTCTGATGGGGTGGTGAGGCGATCAGAATGAAAAGAGGTCTTTCCAAGGGGGAAAGGATCAATGGCTAGCCTTTTCTTCTTCTTACCTATCAGGTGTCAGAGTCAACCCTTTAAGATTTCACGCTAGAGCCCAGCCTGACATGGTTTACGCAGCTTCTCTGGGAGAAAGTCAAGGCGTCCCACAAGGCGACCCTGTGAGTCTCACCAGCGCTGATGGTGGGAGAGCGCCTCATGTCCTGGAGCAGTTGGCGGACGACAGGGCTGGACCGGGGGTACAGCCCGTGGCGGCTGATCCCCAGGTGGAACTGGATCCAGCTGGCGTCAAGTTGGAGCTGTAGTGGCGCGTCCAGGGAGGTAAGGTTGAGCTGTTCTTGGTACATCTTGTGCCGCCTGAAAGAGCAGAGAGAGTTTCGTTCTGTTTCAGGTGGGCTACGAGAAGGCAGAGGCTTGCGAAAGCACCGTGTCTGGGCTCTCTATTCATTCTTTCATTCATTCAGCAGCAGTATTAAGTGCCCACTGTGTACCCGGCCTTTTGCTGTGCTTAGGATACCATGGCGGGGCGGGGTGGGGGGGGCAAAACGGGCACACGCCTTCCTTGCCCTCTGAGGGCTTACAATCTAGCGAGCGCAACAGGTGCATGGTTACACAGTGTCATACACAAACACACAAAATACCTAACTATAAACCATGACAACCACGGCAGAGGAAAAGAGTAGATGATGGCGAGTAAAATTGGGGACTTCCTATAACTGGGGATCTCGAGGAGGTGTTCTGGGCCTCTCCTGTGCACTTTTCCATGGAAAAGTCTGTATGTTATATTTCCCCACTATTTTCTGACCTTTGGAGAGAAGGAAGTGAATGGAGGGCAAGGATCCCTTAAGTAGAGACACATTAGACAATAGATTAAACGATGAGTCATATAGGAAAAGAAGAATTAATTAGCCATTTACTGCTGGCCCACTCAAGAGCCTTTTCTACCAGGGTACAAATAAAAACCAATGCCAGTGCCCTACGGAGGCCAAGAGTCTAGTTTGGGAGACAAGTTGTAGGTCTGTGAAGTCATCGGAGCCAAATAGAAGGCAGTTATAAGTTGACTGCTAGATATGTGGTTCAGACTACCCCCTCGCTCCCAATATTTTGGAGAAGGGAAAGACTGGTCAGAGGAAGACAATCGGGGAGGAAGGTGGACTTCAGCTGGATCCTAATGAATGGGGGGCGTTTGGATTGAATGGGGTATTACAGGGGTGCGCGAGGAGAGGCTGGCGGGCGACAGGTGTATCTAAGGATTAGAGAGGGAGGCATTATTTCAACAGATGGTTGAATAAAAAGGTGGAGGCTTCCAGTTGGAAGGCAGAGCAAATTAGCATGATGTCACCTGGCGAGGAGACGCTGACTGCAGGGGAACGTGGGATTTTGGGGGCAGGGAAATGGTGCTCCTCTATGTGCATATTTCTCAAGCTGATGCCACACCTCTGAGGTCTGTGATGGGTTGGTGTGGGTTTTTAAAACATTTTTTTTTGCTATGAGTTTTGATTTCTGAATTCTGTCATTGTGAATTCTGTTAAGAATAAAGCATCCAGTAATGTAGCCGAGTCAACATCGACTCACTGTTTTGTAAAAACATTTAATTACATATGAATTCATTTTGATTTTGGAGTTTTCCTTTTCGAGCCAACACATTTTCTTTGTTCAGGTCCTGCCGCGTTTGAAAAGCTTTTGTGTATTTTAGGCACTGTGTCCACATTGCTAATGAACCCTGACCCACCATCTTAGCTCAGATGCCCAAATAAAATACCACTGACCGGGAGGGTCAACAGCAGGCATTTATTTTCGCACGCTTCTGGAGGCCGAAGTCCAAGATCGAAATGTGGCCACGTTCCGATTTCGCCTGCGCCCCCTCTCGCTTTCTCTCGGCCTCGCGGATGGCCGCCTTCGTTGCTTCCTCACGTTGCCTTCTCTCTGTGTGCGAGCATCCCTGGCGTCTCCTGCTCTCATAAGGACACCAGTCCTTGGGGCGCCTGGGTGGCGCAGTCGGTTAAGCGTCCGACTTCAGCCAGGTCACGATCTCGCGGTCCGTGAGTTCGAGCCCCGCGTCAGGCTCTGGGCTGATGGCTCGGAGCCTGAGCTGTTCACTGAATTCTGTGTCTCCTCTCTCTGCCCCTCCCTGTTTATATCTGTCTCTCTGTCCCCAAAACATAATAATAAGCGTTGAAAAAAATTAAAAAAAAAAAAAAAAGGACACCAGTCCTATCGAATTAGGGCCCGCTCTATGTAGGAATCTTGGGGGGCGGGGACACAAATCGGTCCACAGTACTTGCCCATTTACAATCTTGGTGGCTAGTGGCCAGGAAGGTCCATGCCAGAAGGCTTTCCTCAACCCCAGCCAGGAGGTCAGGAGAGAAGGGGTGGGGCAGGTAACTCTACGATGGACGAACTCCTCCTGGATTCACAGTTCTACCCATCTACAGAATTCAGTGAGACTCACATCCGTCAGGCAGAGCTATGCGTTTCCATTATCTATCAGCCTCTCCGGGGGGCTAAGATAAGTACCTGGCAGCAGTGTGTGTATATTGGCCCCCTCTGGCCGCATGTAAAATTCTACTTGCCAGGCGGTTATTATGACCATAGGGACATAGGTTTCTTGCAGTTCTACAGGCTGGCAAGTCCAAGATTAAGGTATGGGCAGATTCAGTTCTTTTTTTAAGAAAATATTTATTTATTTATTTTGAGAGAGAGAGAGAGAGAACATGTAGGAGCAGGGGAGGGGCAGAGAGAGAGGAAGAGAGGGAATCCCAAGCAGGCTCCGCACTGTCACCACAGAGCCCATCGTGGGGCTCGAACTCATGAACCTTGAGGTTGTGACCTGAGCGGAAATCAAGAGTCAGCCACTTAACTGACCGAGCCACCCAGGCGCCCCCAGATTGAGCTCTGGATGAGGGTTTTTACTTCTTGACTTGCAGATGGCCACCCTCTCGCTGTGTCTTCACGTGGAGAGAGGGGAACGTCTCGTTCTCTTCTTGTAAGGATACTAATCCCGTCATGGGCCTCTACCCTCCTGACCTCATCTAAACCTCATTGTTTTCCAAAGACCCCCACCTCCATATACCATGACCGTGGAAGTTAGGGCTTTGACATATGAATTTGGTGGTGGGGTGGGTGGGTGCAGGGGACTCATAAGCATTCAGCCCATAAAAGTATGAGCTTCATTTCTCCACCCTTAACTCATCTGTAGAGCACACTTACTTGACATGCAAGGGAGAGCACACTCCCCATCTAAAGGGGACAGCTGCCATTAAGTTTCAGCTAACAGGAGTCATGTCTTGTCATTGTTCATTTATTTATTCATTCATCAACATTTATTGACTGCTAGACGCTGATCTACATACTGGAAATAGGGCTGTGTACAAAACAAAGCGTTTGTTGTCAGGAAACTTACATTTTCCTGAGAAATCTTTTATTCTGAGTTTTCAAGAGAAGCTAAGAATCCAGATATTTTTTTCTTTTTCTTTCTTTTTTTTTTTTAGAGAGAGTGTGCACAAGCGAGTGGTGGAGAGAGAGAGAGAGAGAGAGAGAATCTTTTTTTTTTTTTTAACGTTTATTTTTGAGACAGAGCGAGACAGAGCATGAACAGGGGAGGATCAGAGAGAGGGAGACACAGAATCTGAAACAGGCTCCAGGCTCTGAGCTGTCAGCACAGAGCCCGACGCGGGGCTTGAACTCACGGACCTCGAAATCATGACCTGAGCCTAAGTCGGCCGCTTAACCGACTGAGCCACCCAGGCGCCCCAAGACTATCTTAAGCAGGCTCTGCACTGTGGTGCCAAGCCTGATGCGGGGTCCCTCTCATGACTCTGGGATCATGACCTGAGGTGGAAATCAAGAGTCGGACATTTAGGGGTGCCTGGGTGGTGCAGTCGGTTAAGCGTCCGACTTC